TATGGCCAGTATTCAATGTGTTTTTTTTACTAGCAATATTGAATTAAAAAGTAGAATTTGAATTCGAAGTATTCTATTATGCCAGGACTTGCTAGAAGGGTATTTACCTCTGCCTTTTGTTTTCATATTAACAAGTGACGCAAGATTTTTTTAAGTTTTCTTAAAATTAACATATGATAACGATAACGTATACAAATTATTGTACAAATTAAATGAATACATTAGTTTATTTAAATGTTAATCGAAGGCAATTTATTAAAACAAGCTGCAGCGATGATTTCATTGCCTTAGAATGTGTGAGGTGTGGCTTTTGTAGTAGAGTTTACTAGCGCCATAGCTTTTACTTCTTAAGAGTAGTACTAATTTAGATAAGTCCTATAGTGTGTCTAAATCATTTAGATTAGTTTGACAATTCATTTCAAATTTAGTAGGGATGGGTTGTGTAAAATAAGTCATGAATCTTATCGATTTTCCATTTTTATTCTTATAGAAGTTGGAATCGATAGATTTATAGTTATAACTTATAAAAAAACGCTGTTTTCTCAAATTAATAAAGACCATAACAAATAATGTGAGTAAATGTTTATTGCTACTACAGCCGTACGTAATCGAATTGGATTTCGCTATTATTTCTGTCATCGCTAAATTCTCTACACTATAATCAATACTAGAATTGTCCTCTAAATTGAATAAAAAAAAAATAATAATAATAATTTACTTGAGTTTGATAATTATTAAATTCGAATAGAGATAGTTCAAAATAGTTCGCTATGTGTGTTTGTTTCGTCACTACGATACCTGTCTATTAAGTATGGCATTTGCATTCATACAAATTGAATTCGATACTTCATACACCGCACTTATCAAACTAATCTATCTTTTTTTAGACAAACTATAGTACATTATTTTGACTAATTTCTCGCTGGCAATCTGCTTATAATAAAATTGGAGTTGTCTGTATTCAGAAAAATAATACACATTTCGTCAACATGAAGTATTTGCGCTGGATAAAACATAAAGGTTAGACTTTTCTCTGTCTGACCTCAAGCCGCGTTTGTTCAATGCAATCTCCGGAAACGACTAGACCTATTTTGACGATATACACTGTATTTTAAATTTCTTGCTGATAATGTCGCGGACAACCGTTAGTTGCAAATAAAACCAAAAGATTAACAAAATAAAATGACGTGAAAGTTGCTGACAGTGTTGTCCTCATGGTACCAGACGGATTTATAACAATTAAGTGTGTTTTAAAAAGGGCACTAAAAATACGTGAATATATAATAACTAAAGCAACAAAAGTTAAAACTTAATTTATGTACCTATAAAATAAAAAAAGAACTATATTACCACATTTAGCAGTAAATAACATAGAATTAACACTAACAGAATAACGGATTGTAAAAACATTATGGCGCCTATTTTTTGCGTGAACGCTTTTTCTCGGGTATAAAAGTTCAAAACTGATATGGTTGTCAGCAATAATTAAAATGTTTAAAAGTGGAAATGATTTGCTTAGTAAAGCTGTATTTATTTTTAATCTTGTCAAAAGAACATTCATATATATATATACATCTTCGAAATAAGACTTCATGCTAATACGTTTAGATGGATGGATTTGTTATTCCGTATCGCCAAAACGGGTTAACGAATCTCGATGAAATTTGGTAGAAATATAGAACACAAACTCATAAAGTATTTACTATTTTTTTTAATTCCACGAGGACGAAGTCAGGCAAAGCTAGTAACTATCCTTCGTATCTACTAAATTGTATCGTATTTAGTAATATTTTTTGCATTTTATAAATAATTAGCTGTTTCTCGTAATTTCGCCTCCGTGAAATTAAAAAAAAATAAAAACAAAACCTATGTTACTCAGTAATAATATAGCTTTTTAATGGTGCAAGAATTTTTTAAATCGGTCCATTAGTTTTTGAGTTATTTCAATACAAATACATACTCTTTATAATATTAGTATAGAAGTATAGATACATATCCAGTCTTTTGCATTTGTTTATAGTTATAAATAAAATACATCATGTATAACCCTATTGCAGTTGAACGTCTAACATAGCTCGAGGTGCATTCACCTCGTTTTTTTGCGCAATCTCATCGCAAAAAAAAACCTCCTTGAATTTGTGTTAACTCGATAAAGTTATTAGTATGTTTTCGGTAGTGTTTTGTTTTGTTTTCTTTGTATAGCTTAATGTCATCGTTTATCAAGTCTGTAAAAAGGCTGAGGTTACATCATTTAGATTTTAGTTTTTGCTTGTTGTTCCCAAGTATTATATCTGGCAGTCTACACTCTTGAAGATTTTATAACTATGAACATTCGATTCTGAGGTCTATTCCAAATGTTTGCGAAACAATTGTGAGAATATATTCGTAACGTCATCGATATTGTAAAAAAGTTAGTGTACATTAAAGCCAGTGCAAAAATCTAATACAATTTTGACGATGATGTTACGAGTTACGAAAACGCTCTCTTCACAATATTCGTAATAACCCCTTTGGAGTGTTATACTGTCAATTTTATTTAGGTTTTTAACCACAAAATTTATTTTAAAACTTTATTTAAAACTAGCTTTCGCTTTTAAAAAAAAAAACAAAAGTAAATAGCCTATGTGTTCTTCCATGTTATGTTTCATATCCAGACTACATCTAACAAACATTCATCCATCTAAACTTTCGCATTTAACAGTGGAAGTGCCCGCTTTAACATCTTAGCACTGCAGGGCCGGCACGCCCGGTGTAATACCACGGCCACACATAAGATAGGCGTGAAATGGAACCAATGCCGTGTTTCGTCTGATAAGTGTGTTGCCGGAGGCCTAATTTAAGTCCCTTTCTCTTTACCACCCTTTTCTTATGAGAGGATGGGAAGGGGAAGTGGATTTGACGATGGAGGAGATGCATAGGAAGAGGATATTTCCTCTTTATGTGCGTCTCCTCCTCCGTCGGATAAGGGTAGGCGACGCATCTGCAATTGCAGATATCTATGGGCTGCGGTCGCTTCGCCATTTTGGCGGATTCAGGTGGCCGCTTGCTCGTTTGCCACCTTATGTTATAAAAAAAAAATTATAGTATTAGTAAGATGTACACTGCGACATCCTTGTTACGAAAACAATGAAACGCGTGACAACCCTAATTTAGTGACGTAACTCGTACCTATTTATCAATTAATACCGTAGCAATGCTAAATAAATGTTGATAAAGATGATTACAAAAGAATGCGGACAACAATTAACATTGTTTACAATATCTTAACGAAGTTCATACACTAATGGGTTAACCTTGATCTTTGCTTACCGCCTTTTTTACTTTTTTTAATGAATGGACAAAGGCAACCTAAGTCGTTCATCTTTTTGTCAAGATTCAAAACCATCAGTCACTTTTGAACCGGTCTGAGACGAGTATGGATTTTTCTTTTGTTTATACGAATGCAGTTTTAAAAGATGTCACCGGACATGAATGCATTTTGTAATTTTTTGTAACTTTTTTTTTTAATTTTCATTGTGCCTTATTTTTTTTGCGAACATATACATAATAACATAAGTATAGAAATTGGATTAATGTGTGATTTGTGAGAAGTATGAAATGAATGTTTTTACTAAGTTATAGTACAGAAAAAAGTAAATTAATCGCTAGTTAATAATTCTCCCCATCCTTATATCGGTTATGTAAATTTCTGACAAAAAGAAACTACTCGTACGTAGATCAGGAGTGGCGAACATTTATGCATCAAAGTACATTTAAAAAATGTTTAATGTAGTATTATAACGTCAACGTTTACCAGTGGTAGTGCCCGCTTTAACATCTTAGCACTGCAGGGCCGGCACGCCCGGTGTAATACCACGCCACACAGAAGACAGGCGTGAAATGGAAGCAATTCCGTGTTTCGTCTGATGAGTGTGGTACCGGAGAACTAATTTAAGTGTCTTTCTCTTTACCACCCTTTTCTTATAAGGAGAGGATGGGAAGGGGAAGTGGATTTGACGGAGGAGGAGATACATAGGAGAGGGAAATGTCCTCTTTATGTGCGTCTCCTCCTCTGTCGGATGAGGGTAGGCAATGCATCTGCAATTGCGGGCAGCGGTCGCTTCGCCATTTTGGCGGATTCAGGTGGCCGCTTGTTCGTTTTCCACCTTATGTTATAAAAAAATATATAATTTTTTTCGTAATGTTATGATCATCGACGTGCCCAAAATGTGTACCATTTATGGCCAGTGGTTCGCAACCCCTGGTTTAGATTACAGATGCCTTTTTCAATCATTAATCATGAAGATTGTTGCGTCCTTAATCTACCATTTAACCCAAGACCGTGACTTAGGATATTAGTATAACATGCACAAGGCAATAACTTATTAGTGTTTGAGGTCTCGCATCACTAATGATTGTCCTTTGAAACGTCAATCATTCTTGGACCTCGGATGACGTCAGAAGTCTCTGTTAGGCCACCGTTTACCACACGAGGCATTAATTTATCTATAATATGTGTTGCAGTATCATACATGTTATTTATTTATGTTTTAAAAGATGTGTCTTGATTTCTTTTTTACTTTTTTCACCTTTTCTAAAAGGCTTAGAGGGATCTTAAGTCACCTATAACCTTCTTGAATAGTTACACTTTCTTATTCAAAAGTTATTTTACATATTAGATTAGTACTTCCTGAGATTAGTGCTTACAAACATTAAAATTTTTAATTTCTGTTTACTTTATAAATTTAAGATATATCAACAAATTATTAAGGTAAATGCGTAAATTTAAACACACCTTAAATCGTCTGGATTGCACAATAGTAAATCTAAATGCGATGGATTCTAACACTATCGTATATTACCCAATCAAACAAATTAGACTGCTAAAATAAACCTTATTGCTATAAAAATAAAATCAATTTTACTGTATTAAATATCTCAAGCAACAAATGCGATTCAAAATGTACCTTGTTATGTTTGTTTTAAGGTATATTTCACTTTAACTGTTGTATTTGTTACAGTGAATGCGTGAAGGACCCGATCACTATGAACACGGACTGGCATTGCGAGGATGACCCCTGTCTGATGAGCAACGCCGTGGTAGAAGGTGTCAATAGAGGTGGATCCAGCTGGAGGGCATACAATTATCCCGAGTTCCGTAATAAAAAACTTAAAGAAGGTCTAATATACAAACTTGGTAAGTATTTTTAAAATGTACACAATGCTTTTTACCCCGACTCTTAACTTTCACTTTTGAATTCCTGTTCCATAATTCCGGATTACCGTTTTACAAATGAGAATAACAAAAGCAGGGTTAGTTAAAAAACACACACACTCCGAAGAAAATAAAACCTCTTTGTTTAATATCTTAAAACTTCCTCGAGTTAAAACAAACTATAAAAACACTGGCAGTCAATAAATTATAACCTTAAACTCCATCGAAAAAAAAAAACAATTAGAGAAAAAAGTATTACTTTTTGCTACTGGCTGAATGATTCGCAACGGTAAATCATAAACGCTTTTGCTCTATCAAATTCCCGCGTCGGTTTCCCGCCACAAAGTTAAGCCGCCATTTTAGATACGCTATCACAGATTAGATCTTAATTATTATAAACCATTTAAACCTATTAATATCGCTATATAATATTATCAATGAAAATCTTTGCAGTGGATATTAGGGATTAAGTATTAGAAGTCAATACATTACACATTTTATTAGGCATAATAAAACAATTAACCTCCATACATAATATTTGAATATTACATAATTACAAGGCCTTATTTTACCAAATGATCGTATTTTAGTTTCACTTAAAACTAACTTTTTCCGCGACTCCATTGCGTGCAGTTAAAAAAATTGAGTAGTCTATGTGTTCTTCCAGATGTGTACCAAACTTCATAGAAAACCATTAAGCCGCTAGTCATACTCTAAGAAATATCCATCTATCTAAACTTTCGCATTTATAATATAAGTATGATAAATATGAAAGGACTTTAAATATCAATAAATGAATTAGAATAATAATTATTTAATGAAGAAAACAAGTTCAGCGACTGGAACCCTCTGAATAAGCTATACCTACTCTTTGGTAGCTAATTCAAATTGTCATAGATTAAACACATCTTTAATACCTAGAGTTGATCATGTATATTGGATGTTTGTTTGCGTTCAATAGCCATTTAAAATCAACGAAAGTTAACGCCTTTTGTTAATCGCTTTCGCTTGCATCTGCTCCACTTTCGCCCGTCGCTCGGCCATTGTATGCACCCGGATAGTGTAACGTTTCTACTCTTTAAATATACTAATATTCTATTGAGATATTTATATGCAAATCTACATTAAACAGACAAGATCTGTCTGAAGTGCGTAAACTTACAAGCAGTATACAGATTCTTAAATTCAATTCGAACGAAGATTATATTTTATGTAGACTTGTAGTTTTGTATGTAGCTAATAGACTCAAAAACTACTGCACAGATCACATAAAAAATAAGCTTTTGAATAATTTTCGAATTGCAAGATTTGCAATTTTTTTAAATCCGTATTTCTTTAGTAGTTTTTGAGTTTTTTCTTTACATACAAAAATAACTTTCCTCTTTATAATATTAGTACTTATAGTGGGTTAACAATTAAATTACAGCAGTTCGTTAAATTAGTTCTGAGTATCATTTGGAGCGTGCGCACACCTAAAACTAAACTATCGCACAACTGTTTAGTTTCGCTTTAATTCCTATGAGCTTATATGGAGTGCTCACTACTCGATTTTTAGTTGTGCAACTGAACAGTTGAAGGCTTCGAAACAATCGACAATCGCACAACAGTTGTGGGAAGTTTAGTCAAAGTTGCCCGCTCTTATCGTTGTTATTTAAAAACTATTTAACTACGTCGTAGTCTATGACTCCAAAAATCAAACAAAAAAATGGAACTCACCTGCAAGCATTACCTTTCGGATAAAAAATGAATTATCAAAATCGGTCCACTAGCGGCGGAGTTATGCCGTAACACACATAAAAAAGTTGGGAAGTCGGTAAAAAAATACTACATTAATGAAGTTTCCTATAACACTTCTAGGTATGTTAGTCTTTGAATTAAGAGGCACGTCGAGTCGAGTTTCACGGTATCAGGTTTTATTACATTTTGTTTGCGATGGAATTGACCCAGTGTTAGTGTGATAGTGTGACACCATTATAAAAAATATGTCAAGGTTTTCAGGGGGTCTAGCACGAAAATTTGTATGAGATTTGAGCAAGTACTTAAACACGCAAAACAAATCACAAACAAATATCGATTACGTTACGAAATTAAATTGATTTTTGAACTGTTGCAAATAATATCGAAAACCGATTTGAAAAAAAAAACAGACGATTTAAGATTAAAGATGCTTGTTAAAAAATTAAGGGCATTCGTTAAAAAAAAACAAAATCGAAGTAAATGAAATTCGAGATACAATTTCGTATCTGTAATTTGTCTTGTTACGAGCGACTGACGTTTTTATTGTCGGCCATTTTGATCCTAATGACGTGAAAGTTTTGCTTGAGTGTTTATTTTTATTGCTAGCTTTTGCCCGCGTCTCCGGCCGTTCAGAATTAAAATACATAACCTATGCACTATCATATAAGTAATATATTTCTATGCTAAAGATCCAGATATACTTAAATGTTTTGAAAGCACTAACTTAAAAGAAAAATTACATACAGACTAACAAACACTTCTCAAAGGCAACGTTTCTAAAAAAAGTAACCATGACTTTGCTGAAAAAACGTATATGAAAGCGTCTGTAAGTTTTTTAAAGACAAAGGCATACGCGTTACTAGTCCATGATCTAGACTAGGGAAGGGAAACATATTTACACGTTCTTATTTGTAGTATTTTCATCTATTTTTTTTTAAAATCTCTATATGCGACGCTTAATTGCTTAATATTGGATTTTTTTTCTCTTGCAAAATATCTATTAACATGTAACATATTACCTACTTTTTTTAAGGTTAAAATTGTAACCTTAATGTATTTTTTTATTGTTTATTCACTTTTTTAATACCTGTCAAGGTTAAGTCACCCAACTTGTGTGAAATACCCGTGTGTAAAGGGGCCAGTTGAAAACTAGCGCATAAACGGCCTGCGCCGCCCGTCTCAGCATTAGCTGAGCTTGCCGCCTTTTGCTATAATACATTTTCTTTTTTACTAGCTTTAATGATAATAATAATAATAAAAACTAAAAAACTATTAAAATATTTGGATTTGGCTCACGAGATTACCGCCATGTGGCGTATGAAATCGACTACCATTATTCCGATAGTCGTTTCGGCACATGGGCTGATAGCGAAGAGCTTCGACCAACACCCCAAGAAGTTCTCGCTAGACAGTTGGATTAAGGGCCCGATCCAAAAGGCGGTTATTTTAGAAACCGCACGCATAGTGAGGAGGTTCCTGTCTCTGCAGCCCTGACCACTGGTTGCTTGTGTCATCGGATTCCGCAGCCGGTGGACTTCTATTTTTTTATATAACATATTTTATTTTATTTTTATATTCTTGTAAAATGTATTATATAGAGAATAAGAAATAAAGATATATAGAGATAATAATAATAACAAATCTTTATTTCAAGAAAATCTCATATTTTGTTAGTAAAAAAAGCTTATCGCCTAGTGTTAGTAATCCTAATAATAAAGAGAAAACAATTTTTTTTTAAATCACACTTCAACTACATTTTTTGCAGTGCAAGAAATTAAATCGTCGTACTATTGCACATCTTATATTATAAAAAAAAAACTATCGCATCTGGCTGCTAAAACAACCAGAGTTTTTTTTATCAAAAATGCTTTAAAACTGATGCATGTAAGACTTCATTTGTAGCTTGTTTTTGTGTCAATAAAAGACCTATTTTTTTTTATTTAATTTTATATGTCGATTAGTGGCCTAATATTTGGTATATCGTTTTCAGGTACATTTCCATTGAACGCGGAAACGAGACGCATGGGCCCACTGCGGTACGACAAGGATATACCTTACCCGACCCAATTCGACGCGAGGACAAGATGGCCAGGCTTCATCTCACCTATTGTAGACCAGGGCTGGTGCGGTTCCGACTGGGCGGTGTCGCTTGCTGGCGTTGCTTCTGACAGGTAGAATATTCTTCTAGATGCATTAAGAACACGGAAGATAACAGACAGGTTGCACGTTGGTGGATGTCAAGTTGAGTTTGGATGTTTGGGTTTCTGGAAAATTCTCTAATCTAAAAAGTGTGATAGATGTTATTTTACGAGGACGTTAATTTTCAAAATACAGTTAGAACAATTTATACCTACTGCAACTTAAGAGCAATTGTTTAGCATTCACATTTTTCAACATCAAAGGAGGTTCTCAATTCGCTTGTTTTTTTTTTATGTTGGTATTGATATCCATTACGCTTCGATGTATGTTCCGATTCACGTGATTGTAGTTCATCTTACGTAGAAGTTGTACAAATTATGATTTGTATTATACTTGTTAGGGCCTGTCCCACCACTAGCTGATAGATAGCTTAAAAATGACGTCACTGTCAGATAAGGTAACATAATCTGATATTTCACATATTTTACAAGTTGGATTGTTATCAGACAATTTACAGTTTGGTAAGACAGGCCCTTAGTGTTACAAAATTTTTATGGACCTTAGCGAAACTTTTTAAATTCAAACAGATAAATAGAGCAACTTTCCCGCCAGTTCCAAAGGATATAAAATGAATTAAAGAAACAACGGCGAAGTAAAAGTAGTCCTTGACGTCTGGCGCCAATCCAATCGTCTTAACATTTAAAAATGACGTGTGAAAGTGCCTTATACGTTGTTAGAGTGCATTTACACTGAAGCGTTTGTTATTTTTAAAATACATAAAGTGAAAGGCGATCGGACGGATTGATGTCAACAATAAAAACATCACTAAATTATTCGTTAAAAAATCGTAATGTTATCTAAAAAATCGTAACGTAATAGACTAAAGTTCACACGAAAAAAACAATCGTTTTGTGACATAAATCTCCAGTGAAAATGCATCTTAAGCTATAAAGAATATATTTGGCGGTGATAAAAAGAATTCAGCCGAGTCTATATCATTGATAGTGATCTCTGGCAGTAAATCGGCTCCTCCGTAGACTATACTAAACCATAATTTAGCGATTTACATCTTGTTTGTTTTTAATTCACTTTATAAATACTTATTTCTACGCGAAATTAAAGTAACGTTAGATAGAAGAACTATAGATTTTGGTTGTCTATTGTATGTTTATGTATCTACAACCTTACCAAGGTCGTAAAAACACTTCAATGTTCACACTTTTGTCGTAAGTACTTTACGTAGGAGCCAACGAAATAAACATAAACAGTGTGCAACGAAACGTATAGACTGGACTGAGATGGAACGAGATAATATTCGTACTCATTTTCATTTCACTTCTTTGAGTTTAATTAAAACTTCACTTTCAATTTAAGTGAAGGATCACAGATAAATAATCTTGATACGATTCCTTCGTACTACTTAAAAATTAAGGTTATCGCGTACTTATCAACTGCGAACAAAAACTTTTTAATTTTCACTTCTTCTGTTCCTTTTGCCAGTTATTTGGGGATCGGCCTTACTTGTAAAACTTTTTACATTTCATTGTTACTTATCTTTTATAATATTAAGAATTATACTGTATTAACGGCAGATCCAGGGAGGGGGTCGTAGGGATCGTGACCCCCCCCCCCTGGACTGCTTGGTCAAGAGCTTGACAAAATATATTTACATATTCTGTCAAGTTCTTGACCTCGACTATGTTACCCCCCTGGCGATAAAGCTGGATCCGCTCATGCACTGTATAATATAATAAATGTTATATAAATAAGTCTTTTAAGTAAGTGAATTTTATAATTTTTATTAAGGAAATAAATAAATTCTTAAACCTTAAAAAAAAATTAAAAACAATGATCATCACAGTGTGTATTTCTATCTTATTATATTAGAAACTCAAATCAACAAGTATTTGTCAAACAAAATATAAATGTACATTATCTGTAGTGAAGTTACGAGAATACCAAGAGATCGTGTTACAAAAGCTTTTAGAAATGGAACATACAAAGCTCTAGTAACACGATCTCAGAGAACCTTCACCGGTGCAAAAAGCTCGAGAACACTCGAGCTAAAATTAAACTCTGAAGCGCTGTAGCGCTTTAAAAGCTCTCATAACGCCAGACCGTAAGAACTGAACATTGTTAGTGGACTGTTTTATATCTTGAATAAAATTCAGTAAGACATAGCCCAGTCAAGTGTGAATGAAAACGGCCAGTTGACCTTTAAGATTTTTTTTTTATCAAATCGCTTCTGAGAACTTCAAATGCATTCGATATGCTAATATCATATTGTTTTTTTTTTCTTTATAATGCCACAGTAACCACACTTATGATATCCTGGTACCTATGTACTAATCTAGAAGGGGAAAGTTAGAACTAATATGGTCTTGTAGTAGTAATTTTTATATTTTTTGAGTTTAGAGTAATTGGACAACTGGCCTACCTCCCTGGCGATGCTATGACTTGCCAGCAATAAAACTATATTAGACTAAAACAGTGATTTCCTAATATTTTCGTTTAGAACAGAAAATTTTACTGGTTTCGGGGAATCCCTGTTTCAAAATTTTTTAACTCGTGAACTCACTTTATTTCCAGCCATCATCCAGTCAAACCATAGATGCTAATCGTATATTTTTATTTTTTTTAGATTCGCAATCCAATCTAACGGTGCTGAGAACATGGTGCTAAGTCCACAAACTCTTCTCTCTTGCAACGTGAGGGCACAACAGGGATGTCATGGCGGACATATTGATGTCGCTTGGAACTTCGCTAGAGGTCACGGGTAAGATATGTCATACTAAAGTTATTCGATACAGACGAGGAGTTTCAAACCTTACCCATATATGTGAAGTGTCATTTGACGCACACAATGCAATTAGATCGTTAACTTTATAATTAACTAGCTTGCGACTTCGTCAATGTGATAACAAAAAAAAAAACAATGTAAGTAGCCAATGTGTTCCTTCAGACTATCCTAGAGGATAAACGGCTGAACGGATCTTAATGGAACTTGAACTTGGAATTTGATGTAGACAAATGTGCCAAGTTCCATCAAGATCCGTTCAGCCGCTTAAGCTACAAACTTTAAAAAACACCCATCAATCTAAACTTTCGCATTTATAATATTAAAATGTTAATAGTAAGATCTAATTTCAATAACTTTTAAAAAATAAACAAAATTAAAGAAAAAAGCAGACGTTAATAGATAACCTTTTCCCTGCCACCATTGGGTTTATTAAGGACGTTAATTTACATTATTACAAGCTTTCGCCCGCGACTCCTTCCGCGTAGTATTAAAAACAAAACCAAGTAGCCTATGTGTTCTTCCAGACTATCATCTACATCTATGCCAAATTTCATTGGGTCAGTTCAGCAACGTAGGCTACAAACTCTAACAAACATCCATCCATTCATCCATCCATCTAAACTTTACATTAAAAATATTAGTATGAAGTATGATTTTTTCATTGAAGTAATGAATCTTATTCCTAATTACAGATTAGTAGATGAAAACTGCTTCCCATACAAGGCGTCAGTCACTCGCTGTCCGTTCAGGCCCCGTGGTAACTTGATACAAGACGGTTGTGTGCCGCTTGTGAAGAGGCGCACCTCCAGGTACAAGGTCGGCACGCCAGCCAAGCTCGGACAGGAGAAGGACATAATGTATGATATTATGGAGTCAGGACCAGTACAGGGTAAGAGACACCTCCTTTGTTATGTAATTTTACAGACAGTTTATCAACTAATATCGCTTTTTTCTTATGGCATTATCTATGCGTAAATATAAAGTCACATTTCGAATGAAATATAGGTTTTACTAGATTTTGCCTGCGACTATGTCTACGCGGAAAAAAACTTTGTTACGTCTGTACAAAATTTCATTAAGATCCGTTGAGCCGTTTCAGAGATACGAGACAAACATCTATCCATCCAAACTTTCTTAATATAAGTATGATTTGGCAGGTTAAATACGATAGATTCCTAAATCAAGCATTTTTTTCATTATCTATACTATTATAATAAAGCGTAAACACACACGTCTTTGTTGCCTAAGATGTCAGCAATTATAGCATACTTTTGGATGACTCTTCCTTTAATAAAAAGCCCTACACTGCCGTTACGCTTTAGGCTATATATTTTGACGCCATTACACTTAGGGGTAAACATCAAGGAATCAAGGTTGTCATGGTTTGACATCATGTCATTTTGACATTTGCAATTGATAATATGAAAAATGTAAACAATAAAATGAAATTTTTATAGTCTTCTGCGGATGAAGTCGCATGGGAACAGCTAGTTTAATTATAAATGTTTGCTTAATCACAGGAAATCTATTCGTTTCCAAATACAAATGTACGAACATTTCGATAATGGAATTACCTTGTCATTGTTTAAAATCTTATCGATTTAAAAAAATATCGGAAAATATAAAACAATGTTATCTGACTTTGCAAATGTTCTCGGAATTTTCGTGAAGATATCAAACATAAATAAATTGCCTAAGTTTTTGTCTATCGCGAAATAACTTGTGTATATGGTTGAATTCGAACCCTATAGCAGGCAAAGGGTTAACCTATAAAGCCGAGGTTATTTAAATTATAGGTCCAAAAATAAAATCAATAAAAAAGTGTTAAGCAATAGTATCCCATTTAAATGGAATACAAAAATATTCCACATGACACCATCATTAATAACGATATGCTAAAACGAGCTTAGTATCACAAGCCTATGTATACGCTATAGACGTACAAGGATCATATGACAGTTGGAAATTTTGTGAACTATATCATCTAGGAAGCGTCATATTTTGACCAATGAGAGAGCGGCAATTAAACGAGACAGTGGCGCCGTTTTTATAATTACGAAATTCGATTTTTAAAAAAGACATCATACGGTTTGTTTTTGTTTTCAACATGCGAGAATCTCAAAAGAAGTAAGGATTATTTGTTTACTGGTAACTCTAAAAACTAGTATTCGGTTGTCTATTAATGTAAAAAAATGCCAAAAAAGTCCTTGTAAGTGTACACTGTGCTTATTGCGTCAGCACCATAAACTAGGAATTCCATAAATATGACGGAATCATCAGAGACATGACATTGACATAAAAATTATTAAAGATGTAGGCTGTGAATAGCGTTACCAATACAATCGGGATAATATTTACAAACACCAGTATATATCGATGTAACTATCTTACTAATTTTATAAATGCGAAAGTTTAGATGGATGGATGGATGGATGGATGTTTGTTAGCGTTTGTAGCTTAAACGGCTGAACGGATTTCCATGAAATTTGGCACAGGTTTAGAGCATAGTCTGGAAGAACACATAGGCTACTTTTTATCCCGGGAATAGTTCAACATATCTTATTGAAATTTGGCACAGATATAAAACAAAGTCTGGAGTACACATGGGACAAGCTTCATCCTCGAGAAATGTCCGGTTCCTGAGGGATACCTAGCTTTTTGTAATTTATATAGTTTGTATGTTTTCGAATACCACGCGGACGAAGTTGCGGGCAACAGCTCGTAATTTAATAAAAGACATTGTGTATAAAAGAACATTTGAAAAGAAATACAATACTCAATTGTATATTATTTTCTGTGTTCTATAGTTATCCTTGTCATCCCTCTGTTACATATATCTTTCCTCTCTTTCATGTAACGAAATCCAGCAAAACGTGACGGAATTTAATATTTAGAAGTGTTAGATGTATTAAAACAAACAAAAATTGAAATAAACCATTTGAATTTGTATTAGAATGTTATAAAATAACATTGTTACAACAAATGTTACTCATACAATGATAATTGAATTAACTAGATGTTCATAAATTATTGACACATAACTTCGTAGAACATAAAAGGCAAAATTATTTACATCATAACATAAATGTTTATTCATACTATTTCATGAATAATCATAAAAATAAACGAGCAATAATTTTATTACGACATCCTACTTAATATTTTGATGGAAATAGACTCCCGTAAGTTTTTATTTTAATAGTTTTAAGGTTACCACGCATTGCTTCTTGACTGACCTGACTTAATCATTTCGAGGTGGTGCGGTGCTCTTGTGGGCGAAAAGTGGGTCAATGCGCTATAACCTTTATATCCCAAACAATGTAAAACGTAACTCGGTGATTTCCAACACAGTTCAGGTTGAATCCTATAGTTCACGGAATTATTGGCAAAGATGTATGACGACAAATAAAGTTGAGGATTCACAAGTTGAGAAAGAAACGTAACAGCAATATTTCTCCGAAACTGTTGATATTTCGACAGTAGGTTTATGGAATTTATGAAAGTTTAGCCTAGTTCAAAAAAAGCATTTTCAAAAAAATTGACGGAGCAATTGACCGTATTTCCAAAGCCATTATTACAGTAAAATGGTATGAATAAAGTCCAGTCCGTAATAAAACGCCTGAAGAAATTTTTTAGCACAAGCGTAGTTCGAGTGACAAGAAAATTGTCGATTGTTTGCTTCCTATTGAAGCCCGAGGCATGATTGCTTGTACCGTATTTTGTATAAAATCGTAATGGCTCACTGGATAAGATAACGAATTTAGCTATCCGACATTTTAGTTACTATAACGTTATTTCTGTTTCTTACCTAATTCTTATTTACAGCTGTTATGACGGTGTACCAAGACTTCTTCCATTACCGCGACGGCGTGTACAGACGCAGTTACCATGGCAACAACGAGCTAAAAGGCTTCCACAGCGTGCGTATTATCGGCTGGGGTGAAGACCGTGGTGATCGCTATTGGGTAAGTCAATATTATAATCAATATTATAATAAAGCGTAAACGTCAATATTATAATAAAGCGTAAACACACAATTCTTTGTTGCCTAAGATAACAGCAATCACACCATATTTTTGAATAATTCTTTTTTTAATAAAAAGCCCTACACCTACGTCACGCTCTAGGCTATATATTTTCACGCTATTAAACTTAGGGGTAAATATTTTGGATAAAAACCCTAATGTGGGAAGAGACCATACGTTGTTGCCAACATCAAGGAAGCAAGGGCATGCTTTGTCATCTTGGTATGTCATTTTGACATTTGTAATTGATAGTCTTTAGATATAGCTGTGGCTTGGTATATTGCCAGCTTATTTTTTTTAAATAACCAATTATTAGTCTATACGCATATTACAAACTGTGTTATTTCTGTTTAAAAGTTCATATATAAACGTTAAAGAATTCTGAATTTTACGACCGCGTTCTTGTCCGTGTCTGCGACTTCGATATGAAGCACTAAGAAGCATCTTATGGACGCCAAAGTAGTATTTATCTCGTTAGTTAATATCTAATTTCTTATTTCCAGTTGGTCGCTAACAGTTGGGGCCGTCAATGGGGCGAGAATGGATACTTTAAGATTGCGCGCGGCTCC